AAGTGTAATTATGAAGCAAAAGCTTTGAAATCAATTACCATACATGATTTTGGTTTGTATTTTTTACACGCAAATTTCATGAATTAAATTTAATTGTACACACTGTGGCTTGTCATAATAATTAGACAAAATTAATTTACATTTAGTCGCAAAATTTGTATTTTAGTCTAGTATGATTGTACGATAAAATTGTTGAACATTTCTCAATAGAATTTTCAATTCCCATTTGCGTCTAAAATATATTCGAAAATTTATATTTTTTATGTTCTTATCTCAGACAGTTTTGATTTTATTTTTTAAAACGTGTGCAATTTTTTTTTTCAATTACAAGATTTTTTTTATTGATTAATTGAAACATAGCACATTTACAAGCTTATAAATCAGATTTGCCATGGTTAAAAATTTTTGTTGAAAAAAGAGTCCATAAAAGATGAATATCTAATTTTTTTATAGATTCATTCAGATTTTTTTTTTTAAACAGCTGACGTTTTTAAAATTAAAACATTTTTTTAATACTGAAGTTTGTATCACGTCTAGTGCCTTGATACATTGAGTTGCAAATGCAATAATTGTTCATATACCTATTAAATTAAAACTTAAAACTTGAAGGTTGATTTTAAAAATTATAACATTAGTAATTGAAACGTTAGGTTGATTTACCTAAAAAATACAAGTAAAACAAGATGCTTATTTTAAAAAACGGAATACAAAAATCAAATTTATTTCCCTTATGAATTTTATTTCAGTATCTGTATTTCTAATAAGTACATGTACATAATTTTTATGTCGAAGTTGGAGAAATGGTATATAAATGGTATATTAAAATAAATATTTTATAATTTTATTATGGTTTCTTTCAATTTTATATGTCTGCCAACTGTTTTTTTTGAAGTGAGTAAATTATTATTGAGCTAGTCCATCTAGATTATGATTTATTCTTCTGAAAATTGACCATTTTATTAAACCTGTTGACTTTATTTAATGGACTATTTGTGACTACTGCGGTCTCTATATGAATGTGTGTCATCTAAATTTTAACTGTCAAAGTGCCAAGTCATCTTTTCAAATTGGCAAAACACGTAACTATAATAATTACATATAAAAATATATTGTTTGTTGTAATTAACATTATGTTTTCTTTATCACATGGAATTGCCTGTTTTCCATATAATATAATCATTACATATTTTTTAACGTTACACATGTGTAATAATAATATTTTTATCATACAAAAGTGCCCGCAAAATGTCGAAACAATAAGTTTATTTTCATTAATTTCAACATGTTTAGTCGTGCTAAAAAAAGATTCTCACATTCATTGTTATATGATACATTTTTTTATCATATAAATTTATAAAGCTTGTCAGAGGCTTGCTTTGTAACAATTTCTTGAGTGCATTTTTTGGCATTTAATAAAATTTCATATTAGAATCGGGTAACTCATGTGAGATCCTACCTATCAATAAGTTTGTACAGTCATGGAATGACATCTTCAAAAAAAAAGGTGAATAAAGCTATGTTACCCCCCCCACTCTGTTTATGTGTGTCAAGAACAAATGGATCAGAAAGATATGTTTGTAGATATAAAGAAATAAAATGGTGACATCTTATGTATAAATCTAATGTAACTGTGTTGTCAAAAATGAATTTTGTCAAGAAAAAAAAGAAAAAAAAAAAAAAGAGAATTGAAAGGATTGACGAAAAAAAGACAGTAATTTTTTTATAAATGAATCACCGGAAAAGAATCCTACATGTATGTATCAGTAAAAATGTAAAGTTTGTAGAATACTTACAGGTATAATGTTGTTTTTACTTTACTAAAATGACTTTTTGTCAATGAAATTTTTCTTTATGGAAATTTTATAGATTAGGCACTCTTTTTCCAATGTACAATTTTGATCTTTATAAAACCAAAATAATTGTTTTTGTAGAGAAAGTCATGGAACAAACAAAAATTTTTTTTTAATCACTACCATCATAAGAAAAGGCATTTTTACAATGTCCAATTTGGATTTTTATTTAACCAAAATGATATTTTTTTATAGAAAAAAGTCATGGAACAAACAAGAAAATAATTGTATTCACTACAGTGATATTGGAATTTTAATTTTTGTAATATGAAAAAAAGCTTTATACATGTATATAGAAATTCATTGATGAATAATTATAATCTTGATGTAATGTTCAAATTATTTTGCAATTGTAATTTATTAAGTCTTTGCCACATCTGTGCAGCCTGGGGTACTGTTGTTAGCTAAATTTTAGTATTTTGATATTGAACTCCCTTAATTTTCAAATGGACTGTTCCTAATTTAAAGGTGGGCAAATCCATTACACAAATTTAGGAGGTTAAAGGTTAAGTTAGTGTATTCAGAAATTATTTTAGTTCAATGACTGTGTAAAAAGCTATAAGGTTGTACACACATGAATCAGTACAGGTACTAAGCAAAAGATGAAAAGTTTCTTGCTTATTAAGAAACAATGGCTTGTCCTTGATGGGGCCTAAAACTTAGACCCACAGGGCTGAGTACTCTGTAAATAACTAATATGATATTTTAACCACTGAATTACTTAGATTAATTTTAATGCTTTGAGTAACTCATAATGGAAACATGTGATGTATGAAATTTTGATTATCAAAATAAAAGTTTTATTTCTGTTGACCAAAGACTTGTTTAGTTGAAAGTTACTTTATTTAAGTTTAATTACATGATTGTCTGAGAAAAAAAAATGTATCATAATGTAATATAATATGAAAACAAGCGTGTATGATGTAACATATTATTTTTATGAAATAAAAAATTTATTGGCCAGAGTATTCCTAATAAGAAAGAATTAACAAAGTACTAGTGTGCATTACTGCCTGAATATAAAAAAATTTAAATACGGTTTTGCGTGTGGAAAATAGGTCTCAACAATGTCTCATTTACAGAGCTAGACGGGTATTATTAGTCTCTCCCGACTATACAGTTACCTGTACAAATTTAATATTTCAATAATAAAACCCCCCTCTAACTAACAATAGAATGACCCAAACATTAAGATGGGCAAGTTTAATATACATGTACAAACCTTTAAATAGGGTACGGGTGTTAAATTATTGTTTTGTGTAAAGAAAAGGTAAATTAAACTTCGAGCTGATTTTCAAATGCTTCAAGTCTAAATCCTTGCTATTATTAAGACTTTTTTGAAAAGTATCGAGTTTCTAAAATCCAAATGATTTCATGCGTAAGCTCACGTAGGCGTGTCTAAAACGCCTGCTTAATAATTGGGTGTACTCTCGTAAAGTGGGGGTACTCAATATAAAGGCTTTGTTTAATTAATTTTAACTGTTTTAGGTGTCAAAATGTCAAAGGTTCTGTGGACATAGTCATTATATTGTTCAATAAATTGACATATAAGTACCCATAAATAAACCTGATATAAAAATTAATTTTCTTGGCATTGTTATCAATTGATTTCTAGGCATGTTGTTTTCTTCTTGATTGTTTTTGAGTCTGTCTTTCTGCATGTTATTGTTTTTTTTTAATTTGAACTGATTTCAGCAACTTTGAAATTTGGAACCTTTCTTTACTTTTTTAGTAATAATTTTTTTGACAGGTTATATGGCCCTATATAATATAAATGATTGTTTGGGAATATAGTGTCTCGGATTATATTGCGAACAACTGGTGTATATATGGCCATATAACAGTTTATTTATGGCCATATAACCTGTCGGAAATATCTATAACAAATTTATAAAACTGCCAGCATCTTTTTTTAGGGAAAAAAGTGAGATTTCTTTAAAATTTGACGGTAGCCGTGTATTATTATTAAACTATAAAAACGTCATGATTATTCAAATTGAATGAAAAGTGACGTTACAAACGTGCAATATTGTAAAGTCTAAATGAACAGTTGGTCATCTTTAAGTGCGGTGACCTGTGTTCACTCATAATAAATTATATAAAGAGTTAACACATTTTTGCACTGAAGTGAAAAGTTTGAAGTTATGAAAAAAAAAATCATTACATATTAATAAAAGGTTTTAACTTTCTGAATACTACTGTTACCAGGATCAATACTAAATATTCAACACAACATAATTTACTGTGTAACTGGCTATGGTATGGCATTTTGAAATTTTTTAATTGACAATTAACAAAACTGGCCAATTTTGACAGGTAAATGTAGCAATTCATTGGTTAAATCCGAGTTAAATTATATAGAAGTAAGGTACAAAACAGCAGTATAGTCTGCTGAAACATGATATATTCATGTACATGTAATTATGTCTGGTTTTTGTTATATTCACCAGACAGACAGATAGACAGACAGACAGATAGACAGACATACTAATTGATCATATCATATGACTACATAAATCTTTATTAATTTGGCAGTGTCCTAGCTTTTGAATTGTAGTCGTGCATATTTTAAATTACCGTACTAAATTATTATTATAATAAAGCAAATTTATAGAATATAACTTACGGTCAAAATTGCATTCTTTAAATACAATGTATTTTAATATTTTGTATACATTTCAATTGTTTTTGTTTTTTTATAATTAAAATGAATGGCAATTAAAATTCACAAAGCGTCAAAAAGTTTAATATATAAATTTAAAATGACAAAATAAATGTTACATGTTCTGTTCTTGCCTTGATTTCAATTAGTACTTTTCTATTTTTAATGTAAGGAAATTTAAAGAATAAGAAAATGAGTGAGGCACATCTCTGACAGTGTTTAATTTGATATGACATTTTTCATCCTGTTAACAATATAAATATAATAAATGAAATACAACATTTTTACCTTTAGTTTAGTTTACGAAATGTTGGTGTTCCTACTCAGGTGCCCACTTGTCCCTGAAATAATGCACTGGTGGAGATCTGACGTCTTGCTCCACCAGTAAGCTAAAAAGTTGCCATATGACCTCTACTGTGTTGGTACAACATAAAAAAAAAAAAAATTAATACATGTACTTACTTTAAAGTTATTATTTTTATTTTCAGAAAATTCAAAGTATACAGTGACATCAACACCCTCCAGTATGTATCACGCCCACCACCGTCCTCCAGGGATGGCTCAACCAAAGACGCTCGTCACTATGCCTGGGTACCATGAGCCTCCATTGCTCAACCATTTACCCCCCACCTCACTCCAACCCCAACTTCCCCCAGTCACTATGCCTTTGAATGTACCCCCACAAACAGGCATGAACCCTCAAATACTCACTCCCGGAAATCTCAGGTAAGCTCCGCCTATTTTAACTCAACATATAAACCTTACTTAATTGAATTTTAGGCTCCACCTTTTTGAACAAAATATATTAGCCCTACTTAATTGAATTTTAGGCTCCACCTATTTGAACTTATTATACATTGTATAAGCCCTTCCTACTTGAATTTAAGCTGCACCCATTCAACTTTTTTTTCCTACTTGAATTTAAGCTCCACCCATTCAACTTAACATATTAGTTATACCTCACTTGAATTTAAGCACCACCTTCAGGGTTGCCAGCAGACTTGAAAAGTCAGGGAAATCTGATATTTTTTCAAGGTCAGGGAATTGTCAGGGAATTTTGAAAATTGGTCAGTGAAGAATAAAAATCCTAAAAAGTCAGGGAAAAGTCAGGGAAAAATAATTTTGAAGAATTTTCCTTATATGTATAAAGTAAAAACTGGAAAAAAAACCATGTTCACCTCTTTTAAGAGCTAGAGCTTAGATATTAAGCATGTAACATCTTCAGTGAGTGTCTACCAATTTTGTACAAATAAAAGCCTTTGGGTCAAAATTTGCCCAGTCAAGGGGGTCATTGATTTTCCTTATATGTTTATATAAACTTAAAAATTCTTGTAACAAACCCAAAAGAGCTAGAGTTTAGATATTAAGCATGAAACATTTTCTAGTGTGTGTCTACCAAGTTTGTTCAAATAAAAGTCCTTGGGTCAAAATAAGCCCCACCCCAGGGGGTTACTGATTTTCCTTTTATGTACATAGTAAAAAAAACAAAACAATATCTTCTTTGAAAAACCCAAAGAGGTAGAGCTGTGATATTTGGCATGAAACATCTTTTAGTAAGTGTCTACCAAGTTTGTTAAAATAAAAGCCCTGGGGTCAAAACTGGTCCAGTCATGGGGGTCATTAATTTTCCTTATATGTATATATAGTAAAAACTAAAAAGTCTTCTTTTAAAAAACAAAAGAGCTAGAGCTTAGATATTTGGCATGAAACATTTTCCAATGGGTGTTTACCAACTTTGTTCAAATCAAAGCCCTGGGGTCAAAATTATTCTTGTTCATGGAGAGTTTTTATATTCAGATGAGTAATTTCAGGGCCATCATGACCCTCTTGTTATTAATTATATTGGCTATGGCAGTATTCTGTAGCTCAAGATAATAGTTTTGCTTCAGACTTGATCTTATCAAAAACATTTTACTGAACACAAAATACCAAACTTAGATGTATAAAGCATGTTTTATTGACCATATTGTTAAAAGCATTAAAAAAACCAACAAAAAAACTTATGGGTGCAGGGCTTTTTTTCACAGGTTGGGGAAGCAGCCCTGCCCTTAATTTTGGGGATACATTAATGGTATATTTGCAAAAGGGGAAGAAAAAACTTGATGTAAATTATATTTTGTGGGAAAACTGCATGATTTTAAAGAATTTCTTTTTGGGGAAACAGTCCTATAATGGCCCCTGCTATAGAAGGAAAAAAAGCCCTGGGGTGAATTGGACGGCTGTAGGGGAGGTGGAGACCGTTTAAGTTTGGTAGTTTTAGTCAGTGAAAAACCTAATTTGGTCAGTGAAAAGTCAGGGAAAAGTCAGGGAATTTTATTTATCTATGATGCTGGCAACCCTGACCTTGTTTAATTAAACATGAGTTTAAGCTCCTCCCATTTTAAAGTACTTTTTAATATAGCACAAATGTAACCTCCTTGGGTATTTTCATACCTTTTTATTTTAAATTTCGCATAAAAACATTTTATTCAGTTGCAATTTAGTTTGCATTGACTGTCTGCTCAAAAAGTCAGCTTTTGTTGGCAATTTCTTTAATTATTATGATATAATTTTCCTGCACTCCTTAATCATGACGACAATTTATTATTTATAGCTTTCTGTTATGTTTTGTATGTATAAATCTAAAATAATATTCGTGTTTATTTACAGCCCTACAAGTAAGAAGCGTAAACACATGGACTCACCCAATGCAGGGATGATGTTTAGCAGAAATGGACTCATTCCAAATATCAAACAAGAACCTAATGGTAAGCTATAGGGTTTATAACTAAATAGTTAAATTTAGTGGTTTTCAGCCTCTTGTTTTGATGATCAGTTGCAGGGATAGAACCTTTTCTTTGCAAAATTCAAAGAAAATATAATTATAGATATAATTATTGTTGGAGAATATAGATATTAGGGTTATTATTTAACATATCTTAGACATTTAATTGATTGAGTACCGTCCACCTTGAGTTGCTAACTTCTTTCAGCAAACATTAGTTCAAGTTATCTCCCTTGATTAATATACACACAGAGTTATCCTCCCTTTTTGAGCATACACTAGTTTATCTCCCTGCTTCAGTATGCAGTCTCAGAGTTATCTACCTTTTTCTGCATGCATTAGTTTTAAAAAGTAATCCCCATTTAGTGTTTACAAACATTGAGTAACATATTTGTTTTATTAAGTTATTCCCCTTCTTTATTGTACACACATACAGAGTTATCTCTCTTGTTTTCAGCATACACAAATTCGAGTTACCTCCCTGATTGTGAAGATGATAGTTACAGTAATTATGACCCAGATTCTAGCAACGGCTACGACAACGGTGTATATCAGGTCATAAAGTGGCAGAAATACGAGGACAACAAATGGGCGACACTCACTGATGCAAATTTAAAAGATTTGTAAGTAGCCCGCAATTACCATTACCATCCATGAACAGGCTCAATTGAACAGACCCTGCAACATTTTTTATTTGGCTGTTTTTTTTGGGTTTTTTAGGGGTTAACAATTATAAATTATTTTACACTTTTAATTGTACTCTCCTTGGAAGGGCATAATGCCACTTTTTAACAAATTAAGAAATTTGTGCTGGTAAGGGGAGTGGCATTTATGTTTATAAAGAGTATGTTTTTGAGGAAAGGATGTAGTTTTAAATAATAATTGAAATATAATTGAAAGCCTTGAGCTAATTTGAACCACCTTTAAAGTGGAATAAAGACTTAATAATGTCCCTAGTTTCATGGTAGTAAGTCTAATGAGAAATTAATGTATTTATTGATTAATAAACTCAATTACTTACATGATAATTTAATCAATTAATTACTGAAAGATTAATCAATTAATTGATCAAGAACATTATTAAATAATTGAAAGTAAGAGTCAGGGTGGCAGAATTTTTTTAAAAGAATTTCCAAGCCTGCTGACAGCAAAAAATTCTACCTAAACCAAGATTAGACATCACATCCATATGTGATCAGTATAAACCAAGATCAAACATCCATATGTGATCAGTATAAACCAAGATCAAACATCCATATGTGATCAGTATAAACCAAGATTAGACATCACATTCATATGTGATCAGTGTAAACCAAGATCAAACATCCATATGTGATCAGTATAAACCAAGACATCACATCCATATGTGATCAGTGTAAACCAAGACATCACATCCATATGTGATTGGTATAAACCAAGACATCACATCCATATGTGATTGGTATAAACCAAGACATCACATCCATATGTGATCAGTGTAAACCAAGACATCACATCCATATGTGATCAGTATAAACTAAGATCAGTCATCATATCCATATGTGATCAGTGTAAACCATTTCATCAGTTAAAAAAAGACTAGTTTAGTTCAGATGTGTTAGCAAACCTCAGACTTAACTACAGGATAAAGTTTAAACATTTATTTAAAAGGACAGATTTATCTTGAAACTAAAAACAAAGTCTTCTGTCATGCCTTACTGTTATTTTAACTTCTGTGTGGGCTAATTTAAATCCAACAACATTTTAAGGGTATTAGATTTCACTTTTTTTCTACCTTGTGCTTTGTGTTATAATAATTATCATGATTAAAGACAACAATTTTTAGGATGCGGAAACCATGAAATTAGATTTTTTATCCATTTTGTCTTGAGACTTTATTTCCTTAAAAACATTTTTGCTGCATCGCATGTTTTCATTTTAAGTCAAAATGTCATAAAAAGAGATATGTTGTTTTGTAGTGAATTGCTTGATTGAATTATCTCTGTCTGTGAATTAATTCAACTTCATTCTGTAATGTGAAAAAAGAATCAGAACTTGAAATGCTTATAAAGTTATAATTGTGATATTCTTTGTTAATTACTATCCAACAACTTTTTATAACTTTCTTTACAAAAACTTTTTTGTTCACTTTTTGTCCTTGGTTCCAAAATTATTTTTTTTTCGCTAAAAAATGGTTCAAAATGTACCACTTCTACAAGTATCAATTTGTCTGTTTGTTTAAAACTCATAAGAATAACTTATAACTCTAGATATTGCATTATTTTGCAAAATATTGTTAATTGAATAAAGGGTATCTCAAAATACAGGATTTTGGTGGCCATCTTGGCGACCATTTTGATTTTTAGGCTGGGGTCTTGATCCAAAAAAGCTAGACAGAGATCAAACTAGGATAATCCTAAGTTGCTTGTTGAATTAATATAATGATTATATGTACTTTAACTGACTACTGACATTTTAAATATATTATACACAATTTCATACTAAATATTTATTGAATTAAACACAATATCACTTTTATTTTCAGGCCTGCTCCACAGTTCCGTGTTGATGCAGACAAAGGTTTTAATTTTTCCGTGTCAGATGACTCATTTGTGTGTCAGAAAAAGAATCATTTTCAAATCACATGTCACATCGGGATTACGGGCGATCCAAAATATGTCCGCACTCACGAGGGCGTAAAGAAAATAGATCATTACTGTCTACATTTTAACGGAATCAAGGTACCTATGATTTCATAATATTTAATTCTGTTTTTGTTTGGTTAATTGATTTTTATGCCGATTTTATCACAGTCATTATCCGGTCAAATTTCTGCGGTTGATGCACTTAACGGACTTTTCTGTATAATAACTAACCAGATATTACCAATGCCCGTCTGCTAATCCCACATGATTTCGGAATCGGTAGTATCCAAGATTAATTGTGACGGTGAAATTGTGGTCTCGTTGGAGGACGTAACTCGCAACCTCTTGATTACAAAGCCGATGCTCTCTCTCTATTCAGCTTAGCTGACAAACAATGTTCTTGTTTCACTTAAAATATAGTCATCATATAATAAGTTATAAAGATTTTTGACAGGTTATTTGACACGGTATACAGGTTTTAATAATAAACTAAATAAAATTTCGAGGGTTGACCGCAAGACTGTTGTTAGTCCTTCTTTATTTAATATAAGTTACTGCAGTTTTGCAGTAAACCTGCAATATGTATTGTCAGATAAAATGAGATTATTAACTTTGATTGATAAAGGTTATTCAATTTTAATATCATCATTAGAAGGAAGTAAATTGTCTCTACATGCTTTTAGATTTTAAAGTAACAAAATTTCTTTGCGAGAAGGAAGTAAAAGTATATCTACATGTTCTATATTATGTGTGCTGTCAGTCAGTTAAAACTTATTTGAAGCTTACTTTTTTTTAGCAAAAAAAAATGTAAAATGCTTTGATATATTATTTCTTCATCTACTTTAATGGAAAAGGCAAGGCAGAGACCGACTGTCCTCTGCAAATCTAAGGCCTCGATGATTCTTCATCAGAATGATGTTAATACAGGCCCTTACCTTTAGGAAGACTGTCAGAGTTTGTGTGCTTTCTGACAGAGTTACAGAGGCAATATTTTGAGAGCTTGTTGGAAACTTTGTTACTTAGAATATGATGGAATTACAAATGATTTTCACTTAGTCTTCAGTGTTTATGTTCTCATACAAAAACTGCAGAAAAATTGACTGCTTGTAGAGAATTTCCCCTTACTTGTTTAGAAAATTCTCTGATTTGTGGAGAATTTCCCCTAACTTGTGGTGCATTTCCCCTAACTTGTGGAGATTTTCCCCTAGCTTGTCGGTAGAATTTCCCCTAATTTGTGGAGAATTTCCCCTAACTTGTCGAGAAAATTTACCCTAACTTGTCCAGAATTTCCCCCAACTTGCGGAGAATTTCCTTTTACTTGTTGAGTATTTCCCCTAACTTGCAGCTAACCTACTTGCTACAGGTTATAGTACATATGTGATGGTTTAATCATGTTTCGTTTGTTTTAAAGATAAACATTAATGTCTGAATATCATGCTATAATTTGCCACTTACACAACTAATCAATAATGATTTCTTTGATCTTGTGAAGACTGTGCAATATACGTAATTGGATATGTTCTGATACATGCTACATCATTCTGATAGATATTACATCGCTGGAAATACTTGATATTTTACATACAGAATGTCTGAACGTAGCTGGTTCTACTCAGGTGCTGATTTGTGCACGAAATAATGAAAAATCGCCATATTATCTATACTGTGTTGTAATGTTGCAGTGTAAAACCTAACAACAACAACAAAAAAAAAACACTTGACATCTGTCATGCTTTTGATAATGTATACAAAAATATCCATGACAAAAAATATTAATGACAAAACATATTCATGACAAAATCCATGACAATAAATATCCCTGACAAAAAATATCCATGATATAAAATATCCCTGTGAAAAAATATCCATGTCATAAGATATACATGACAAAAATATATACATGTGTATGACAAAAAAATATCCATGGCAAAATTATAACCAGTTAAAAAATCATAAATACAAATCTTTTTGGTATATTATATTTCTTTATCAAGAAATGTTTTTTCTTCATGCAATTTCAGGTATTTATTTTCCTGTTGTTTTTTGCCACTGGTGAAATATTCAATTATAAACAATTTGTAAGAATGAAATGTTATAGCAACTGATTGAAAAATAGATATTTCTCTTATCAGATACGTTGAGTAGAAAAAATGTAAATGTAAGAACATGAAAACAGCAAAATTGAAAACTTGCTGACACCATTTTATTGATTATTTGCATGCAGCGCCAAGATGGGATTTTATACCAGTTTTGGATCAAAGCTATGTCATTGCTCACCTGTTAAAGCAACCAATCAGATTCTGAAGAATTATGATATTTATAAAACACCCAACCTTATCTTATCTTACCTCAGACAGGGTTTATTTGTGCTTAACACTGGTGCTTGTGTGTTTTTTTACTTTATGGAACAGTACCCAAAGTCTTAAAAATGAAGGAAATTATTAAATAAATAATAAATACTTCTTTAATTTCAGTTGGAGTCACCAAGTCAGACAATTAAAATAGAGCAGTCACAGTCAGATAGAAGTAAAAAACCTTTCAAACCTGTCAGGTACAAGTATGATACTTTCTACACATAATTATATTCTTTACTTTTCGCTAGAATTTTAATATGAATTTCTTTACAAGAGAATCAGGAAGAGAAACAGGCTTTTTGATAATAATCATTATACTGATGATGATAATAATGATGATGATAATGATGATGTTGATAATAATGTTTGTAGCAGTGGTGATTTTGATGATGGTGATGATGATGTGTGATGATGATAATGGTGATAATGATGATGTTCATGATGATAACAAATCATGTCTGAAATAAATACGTGTTGCTTTGAAATATTGTTTTAATATAATTCTTGTTTTAATTTTCCATTTCTTAAAGTCACTTACATTTAGATAGATGAGATTTAATGTGAAATTTTACATATTGATTATATTATAAAGACTATATGTATGATGTTCCATTATTATGTTTCCCATTATCTCAGGAATATTATGGTATAATTATTAAACTGGTATATAAAATACATATATTATCAATACATTACAGAGTTGACATACTACCAGACAATGTGTCTAAGATGACGGTAGGAAGATTACACTTCAGCGAAACTACGTCAAATAACATGAGGAAGAAAGGCCGACCGAACCCAGACCAGCGATATTTCCAGTTAGTTGTAGCTCTTCACGCTCATTCTGGTGAAAATAGCTACTTGATAGCCGGAAGTGTGTCGGCAAAGATTATAGTTAGGGTAAGTGTGGTGGGGTATATTAAGGCCCGTAGCGGAACCAGTTAAGGCCCGTAATGGAATTAGTTAAGGGCCCATAATGGAACCAGTTAAGGCCCGTATCAGAACCAGTTAAGGTCAGTAACGGAACCAGTAAAGGCCTGTAATGGAACCAGTTAACTGTATTTTACCACATCATTCTTTCCTTTGACCTAGAATAATGTAACATATCGGAACCATTTAACTGAATTTTACCACATCATTCTTTCCTTACAGACTCGCAGATAAAATCTCTTTAATCAACAAACGGCAGCAATGGTCTAGTAGTAGATTATCTTCCTTATTTTAATGTGATCATAAGCTTTGTGGTTACACAGTTTGATAACAAATCCTGGGGCAACAAGTTTGTTTCCTAGTATTATCCCAAGTTTAAAATTTTAAAAAGATCTAAAAAACCGATGTCCTGTGAAATGGTCCTTCACAAAGAACGTATTTATTCTTCTAGAATGGAGTAATATCTGTATTTATTGACATGGAAGTGCGGAGACAAATGAAAAATTTAAATATATAATTAACTACTCCACAAAGTTTTTAACCTCCTTTGTGAAGTAGTTAATTATTAATAATTTGTTTCCAGAATGATTTTAAAAAGGTAAATTGAAACACAGGTTTATTTACACAGCCATCCATGACAAAAATTTTGGTATCACAAATTACTAGCGCATAAAATTGTACATTTTAAAAGATGTCGGTTGATTGTTCAATTCCCAGCAAAACAAAACAGATCTGGTTTCCCTAACTGAAAAAGACGTTAGATATTTTCATAAAGTCAACGAAATGTTTTTGAAATCTGCTAAATTATAGTAATTGATATGAAAATTAAAAACCATTGAAGGCAAGAACCATTAAATTTAAAGGAAAACATTTGAACTTTTGTTTTACTTATACTTATGCTCACACTGTGTACAGGGTTTTTTTTTAAACTTGATTTTTGTCTGTATAATGATTGTGTAGTATGAAATAATATATGTTACTTATGAAATGTTTTTGGTTACCTGATGTCTTATAAGTCAGAAAAAAGGGTGATGAAGCCCTATTTATAAGGTTGTTTTTTCGATCCAGGCATCGAACCCAGGTCAGTTTGATAGCGACATGGAAGCAACACACTGGACTAAAGGTTCCACGCCGGACTCTGTATATCACATAGGACGTGTAGGTGTAAACACCGACCATCCGGATGAAGCTGTAACCGTACATGGAAACATCAAATTATCCGGACAAATTCTTCATACGTCGGACATTAGGGCAAAACAAGACTTCCACGAGGTATTTTATCCTGTACCTGCTCAGTTTCTTAATTGGACTTGTCCATCTTTCAATCTGGACAAAACCATTTATCTTTTATAGGGAAAATTTCAAAATATGTAAAGATTGAAAAGAGATCTGTGCAGACCTTATTCATAGTTAGGCACAAAATTATAAATTACAATTAATAATTAGAGGGAGCATAATTGTCATTTAATTAGTACCAATTCATGAATGAGTAATTAAGGCTCTTCAGTCATTGTTTAAGATATTCCATAGATTTGAGAAAAGTTTTTCACAAAGTGCACCAATGAAAAAAAAAACCAAGTGAGAGAGGACTGGATGAGTGAGAGTGTTTGTTTTTAAGGTGTTATTTAATGGTTTTTGCATAGAAATTTAAATTACATGTTTGTTATTTCTAGGTTGATTCCAAAGAACAGCTTAAGAAAGTATCAGGTATAAAGATATATAATTACAAGTACAGCGAGGACTATGCGGATCACGTCGGTCTGCCAGAAGATAAACGTAAAGATACGGGTGTGATTGCCCAAGAAGTTCAAGAAGTTTTACCTGATGCTGTTATAGATACAGGAGATGTAAAGTTTGAAAATGGCAATGAGATTAAAAATCTTCTGGTTGTTAATAAGGTAAGTTGTTAATTGAAAGCAAAGATTAAAAAAAAATTTACTGGTTATTTATAAAGTAAGTGATTATTTGAAAGCAAAGATTAAAAATCTACCAGTTATTTATAAAGTAAGTGATTATTTGAAAGCAAAGATTAAAAATCTACCAGTTATTTATAAAGTAAGTTGTTATTTGAAAGCAAAGATAAAAAAATCTACTTGTTATCTATAAAGTAAGTCAACTGTTATTTAAAAGCAAAGTTAAAATAATGTACTGGTTATTTATAAAGTAAGTTGTTATTTGAAAGCAAAGATAAAAAATATCTACTGGTTATTTATAAAGTAAGTAATTATTTGAAAGCAAAGATAGAAAAATCTTCTGGTTGTTTATCAAGTAAGTTTTTATTTAAAAACCACCAAAGATAGAAAACTTCTCTGGTTTGTTAATAAAGTAACATGTAATTTGCATTCAATGAGAATCTGTAACATAACAGCTGTTCCATGACTTTGCAAAATAAGATGCATTACCACTACACCTATCATCTTTAATTTCCCCTAATTAAACAAAGAAATTAAGAATAGAAAACATAGAGAAAACATAAAAGAAATACAAGATATTTGCAAGATGAAGAGGTGGAGATGAATATTAGTTTATATAGATTTCATTTTAGTCCAATTGCGTAGGAAACTATAAGCTTATAGACACATTTTGGAACGTGTTCCTTGGACCAGTTCTAGTATTAATTGTGGATTTATTCTGTTTTGTCTGAGTAATGGCCCTTGACTTAGTAAAGAATTGCAATTTTCATTTTTTGTCGTGCATAGCTCAAAAAATATTTGACCTAGAGTCATGAAACTTAAAAGGACTGTCGATCGGCATGTATAGTTGTGCGCCTGGGGATTTTCTTGTGAATTTATTCAGTATTTGTAGAGTTGTTACCCTTGACTTAAAAAATGAGTGTAAAGGTTCTTCCTCAAGGATAAAAAGGCTTGCCCCTCAGATGCGATTTGAAACCATGTGGCTAGTGACACTTTGATTACAAGTCTGTTGTGATAGTTCATATGCACGCAGCTAATCCCAAATACTTGAGAAAACACATTGAATAAATATAAACCACTAAGAAAATTGATAAAAGTGGAACAAACAATCAAAACAGGATAAGTTTTAAGGTTTTATTTAATGATGATAACCCGAGTGAACTTTTTGACTCTCAAGAGTCTTCCTTAGGATTATAAGATTTCAGAGTATAAAGAAATCATTGTCTTAACGTATAAAAATTGGGTATACTTAAAGTCATGCGATGTGTTCTAAAAATAGATTTAAATATAAACAAGAAATGAGATTGATTAAAAAAATAACTGATAATAAAACAAAAAAATAACTGATAATAAAACAAAAAATAACTGATAATAAAACTGACAAAGATTTGTCAATAAATTTAAGTTTAGCAATACATGGATCCTTTCGACTTTTAATGAATAGTAATATTATTTTCAGGACCGTATTTTCATGGAGAATGTTGGAGCTGTGAAAGAATTGTGTAAACTAACAGATAATCTCGAGGTTCGTATCGATGAACTCGAGAAAATGAACACGAAGTTGTCCAAGTTGAAGAGATTTGATAGTCTTAAATCAACAGTCAGTTCAAAATCAACAAACAGCAATAGTACAGTCAACAGGTAAAGACGTGTATAAATGAAATTTTTTAAATTATGTTATTTTCGTTGTTACGGATTTTAAGTCGGGTCAACTCTTTGAAGATCATACGGTAATCTTTCCGGCTGTAGTGGTGGCGGATTCCTCTTCATTTTCACAGTCCTGAGTCTGAACACCAGAGTAAAAAGCACCGGTTTTATTTTATGATCTGGCTGGCTTATTTGCTTAAAGTGACTCAAATAAGGTTGTTTGGCATGACAGTTGTTCGGACTAAAACTTTTTTTTTGATATTTATGTATTATTTTATGTTTAATTTAAATATAGAGAGCTGACCGGTAGATTAGAGGTTTCGAGGGGTTTTCTTATTGTTTATGTATTTTGTCATAGGCAAAATCCATTTTACACCTTAATTCTTATGATTTAAAAGTTATATAAACGATTTATCTAAAAATAACATATTTAGACTTTAGAAAAGTTGAAGGCTGGCTTAATAATTCTTTTCTGTTGATGTTTTCAGTTCAGCACCACCTAAGAAGCCACACAAGACCCATCGTGCAAAGATTACACAACCACCACCACCGACCAGACCTGCTCAATCTTCAAACTGGTGTAGTAACCGGTTCATACAAATCACAATTATTATACTCATTTGCATAATGGCATTCTGGTTAGTAATGGATTTTTTGTGATTTTTTTTATGTCTTGACTACTAAAGGTGTGACGAGGGGGCCCATTTTCCGTCCCTCTGACTGTTGTGTTATCACACTGTCCTTTATTAGGCTGACAAAAGTAGTGAAATGTTGGGTCATCTGTATCTAATGACATTTCGATTTCATTTTTGCTTCTAACGTTTTGGGAATTTTCATATAGACAAATTATATGGCGGAATTAAAACTGCATGTTCAATACAATTTCTTAAAACTTTAAGGTTTTTTTATTTCACCTTGAAACATATACACATTATGATCATGAAAGACCTATTCCTTTAATGTGTGGGGTCCTTAAAAGGGGCTATGTAGTTGATAAAACATGATTGTTAACCTAATTCTTGGTTTTTAAAAACGATTGTGAAATCATGAATAGATTATCGTATTGAGTCATTTTGCCCACAAGTGTAGTCTATCTTATTGACAAATTATTATTCTGATTATTAGATCAAACTCATGTTTTTTTAATGTTTTTTTTCTTTGTGTCTATTTTTAGTCTCATCGCTATAACAATATTATATATTTTGGAACGACAGAAAGATAACTCTGGCTCGACTTACCATACCACAAATCATATATATCCAAGGTAGGTAACTCTAGGTTGAAAATTTGCTTGTTTATTCGTCTTATTGTTTATTTTACATGAATGCTTGACACTTTTAGATGAAAGTTTATAATGTATCAAGAAAAAAACAACAATTAAAGAATTTAAATGCATAGTACAATTCAGTATTCTTTTTTGAAATAGACATGTTTTAATTTGAATATTATTTTCTTCGCCAAAATACATATAAATCCTGGTTGAAAATCCCTAGTTTCTTACTTCAGATTAACTGAATTTTAGAAAATTATTTATAAGAATTCTTGTCTTTAATTTATTTTTTATGCTTGTAATTTAAGTGGACAACTGCAATCTAACAGGTGCTATTTTTAAAAAAAATTCTAACACACCTTTTTCATCCAATTATACCTTTTCATTTTTGTGAAATGTTCGTGTATTACACATTTACTTATTATAATATGGTACAAAAGGCATCAGTTTTTGTTTTTTTGCACTGCGTTCATCATGCACAAATTTCTCGCCATTCATTTTATCCTTACTCCTCAAAATATTCATAAGTCCTTTCTTCTTTCATCTTAAAACACACTTTATACATTTATTAATACACCAAGACACACTTTTGTATTATTTTAAAAGACACAGCTGTGTATACACTTAGATATACCTCCATTAAGATTACACTTTGAAAGACACACCCCCTATACAAACCTCTGTACACATACTATGACAAACCTCCATTCATACATAATAAGACACACCCAATACCAACACTAAGACATTAGGTCAGATATTTGAATTTTGTTTATGTTATCTTAAATTTGTCATTTATTTATGGAAAGAACAAAACAAGAAGTGTGACTAGGCAGACCTACATGTATCAAAATAAAAAAAAAATGAAACCTTTTTTTCTGTTCTTAAGGTTCGTTTAACCTGTTTATTTGTTAGCTTTTAGAAAAAGTAAAAAAAAAGACAAACGTTCAGAATAAATGCCCACACCTGGTGATGCCTCTTGTTATTTCATTCATATGATAATTGAAAAGTTAATCTCAGACATAAAAAAACATGATTACTATGAAATAATAGTTAAGCAAATACACTGCTAAATTTTTGAAGAGTTTTAATCATTTGAAATTAAAATGTAAAAAAAAAATAAACATGTGAATTTTCTTTTTATCATAAATATTACTAAAAGGTAATTGTCACACCTATGTACAATTTGTGTTTTTTCACATGGGTTGCTAATCAGTTGTATTTCATTCTGATGAATAATTTGTATCACAGTGGGACAAATAGCTCGGGGAATAAAGGAAGTTCTCCGTTACATATTCCGACAACTAGACCTACCAGTACAAGGTTCAATACTCCGGAGGATAATACCACCCCAGGTATACCATGAATATTTAATTTAACTTTACCAAGATTTCAATATGATAGTAAAACATGTTTCATCATATCTATGTAAGTATGTCACAAAAAAGAAATACATGTATCATAAAATTCCTATTAAATGTACCCTGTAAATTAAAATGGATTCTGATGGATTTGAATGAAATCATGGATTTACAGTTGAGTTCAGCACTGATGAGGGGATATTTTCCTTATCAAAAGACCTGGAGGGTGCATGGGGGGGGGCGTTTAATAGGAATTTTACAGTAGTTTAGCAGTTACCGATATACAACACATATAATAAATAAGTGAAGATTGTTTGCGGAAAATTGTTGTAATTAAGATCCCATAAGGTCAGTTAAGACCAGTGAATCTTTTGCTTGAAGGTATTTTAGTTCAATAGCTACCATTTGTTGCAAACATTTTTAAGTTTGTTACAAAAAGGTTCAAATGTATTAGAGAAAATCTTTACTGGGTCTTGAACTCATGATCATGGGCTTACAACTTGACCTTTTAGCAAAATAATAAATTCCAGTTATCATAGATTGCTCCTTTGGTAAGGAAGCTAGGTGTGCACTCGACAATGACATATTTTGATTTCATCAACAAGTTCAAAGACCCATCTTTAAGCAAGATTAATATAAAGATAATCAACTGCTTTCTGAGTCTTTAATCACTGAATAGCTAACAGCGCCTAAACCATGATGGGATGTGCCGGCGGATCTTGGTCTGCACTAGTGACATCTTAAATAGTTGCTGCCAGCAGGCTAAATGTTTAAAACTGTGACACAGCTTGCTGAATCAACGTTTTGGAAAATTTTCAAATTATATCCTATTTTAGTTTTTGTACTTTTTTCTTTTATTAATTTCTAGTCCCTGGAGTACCTAGTGTTGCGGCAATTCTTCAAGCTGCATGTAGAGGACCTCCGAATTGTGAAGAACAATGTTGTGGGCCGCAGAGTGACCAGGGTTTTGACACAAGCGGATATTCCCAGTTTCTGATAGACATAGAGGAGAGAATCCTCCAGGCAACTAACGCCCCCTATACCATTATCAACAGTAATGGAGGTCAAGGTCAAGGAAATGCTCCGGTGAGAGACTTTTATCATATTTTTAAATTATTACAGTTTTGTTACCCTCCTTTACTCATAATTTAGCAACTGAATTTATTGCCCTGCTTTGGAACAGTCCATTCAAAGATTTTATGAGATTGAAATATCAATTTGTAATATGGTGCTGCCAACAGTATAGGGCCTTCACAGACACGCATGCCGACCTTGTTCTGTACTATATGTGACTAATGTTAATCTTTTCATATGCAATTTGTTAAGGGTTAAAACAGTCTACATATTTTAATATGTAATTGGGCTTTTGTGACTTGGTAGACTAAGTTTCTGATTAAATCTTTGTCAATTTTATAGGACAGGTCGGACAACAAGTTTTTTTTTCATGTGGGATAATAATAAAATGAATGAAAGGTCAGTGGTGAGTCTGGTGACCTAAACTAGGTTCATGCTAATGTCTGAAATATTGATTTTATCGACGTGTCACGATTTTTTCTAAATGCTAGATATTCTTGTAACTTGCTGTTAAACATAAAAAATGTCAGGTTGACTAAAATGCAAGTGGTACATTTGTTTAAGAACCTCTGACACTGTGTGACTTATCTGGGTTGTTTCGTACTTCAATAAAATATTTAATATCACACTCACAGTGGTAAAGATAATGTACCTGACAGACGGCAGCTTTCACCTCTGTTTTCTGATGTCCCTTATTTTCTGCTGCGATTATCTTAAAAATATTACAATTTTAAAAAAAAATAAAATAATTATGTGCTGTTGTTTTCAGACAACTTCTGCGTCAGATAAAATACAAGTGGTAATAAACCCGAACAGTGGTCAATATATAGATAGTGGTATAGAAAAAGATAGCCAGAACAGCGTTGGGCCTTATTACAGGCGTCGTCGTCGCCGTAGAAACGCAATGCCAGGTAACATATAGTGTCACTTTAAAATACGCACAGGAATTAGGGAATAGTTAAACACTAATTACAAAGGATCAAATAATTTGAATAGCTCAAAAAAAGTGACTTTAGCTGTTTAATACATTTATTTTTTTTATCTTGTTAGCATCATACTAACCTACTCACTTAGTCCTTGACCTACTTTTTGAAGGTCAAATGACGAGTGTTAGTCAAATACATATTGCATTTAAATGAATGGTTAAATAAAGATTATTAAGAATTGTTTATTTGCAAAATAGGCTAGTGGAAATGATCAAACTTTGACCTCATTGGATAAAAAAAGTATGGCAAAGGCTAAATGCAGATCGTAAGATGCTGTACATAATATAAACTTAACATGGTTAATTGTTAAAGTTTGTGTCTATACATAAACACGTGTTTTCAAACATTGACAATATTGACAGTTAACTTATGATATAATCTGTGAGTAAATTATCACAATGATACCTAATGGTGTATCATTAATATAGTTTATAAAAGTTAAAGCAGCACGCCTTTCATCCTAATTTTCATGAAAATTTTGAAAATGTATTTAAAGGTAAAATATTGTGTAATGATTAATGAACAAAGAAAGTACTTGACACATTACAATCAGCACTTAAAATCCACGTAAATTACCAAAAAGAGCTCAAAATAAGCATAAATAGCCCCTACTGCCTTAGTAACGCAGTAGAAATATGGTGATAAATACTACAAAAAACAGACATTTATTGCACATAAGATATAAATTATCACTTGAATCTTTAATTTTTTTACTTTTCTTAAAGTTTTAGTATGGTTTTTCCACGTTTAATTTTCTTGAAGTATTTTGGGTCATCTGGAGGCATGCAGCTTTAAAGGCACATGATGTCCCAGAAAAAAATAAATTTTCTGACTCTAGATTGGACAATGTGTTTTATAACATTGGAATAATGGTTTTAGAGCATGTTAGATGCTTATCACCATAAGAAACAAGTGCTAAATGTGAAGTTGTTTGTCATAAAATTAGCAAAATGTCAACAAAGTTGTATTTTTGGTGCATATTGGGCCTTTAATAAAAGAGACAGTTTTATAGTTTGGGGATATAACTGATTTATTGCAGTACTTTGTAATTTGTAGTAATGAAAAAACAAGCATATTTTCCTTGCCAGTCAAAGAAAAGTTTTTCCAGGTTTTCGCAGTGAGTAATATACAGTGAGTGATATGTTTTATATTTCACTGATACACTTTATATTTCACTGATATAGACAGACACATATGATGTCATGTTTTTCAGATCCAAATGCAGCATTCCTTGCACAGATAACTATACCAGAGTTAAACTTCACGTTGACAGAGCAGTACAAAGACGTTGAATTTTCAATGCAGAACAATTTCACCTATAACATCATGTACAGCAAGTATTTCGATATGAGACCATACAAATTGAAGTTTGGGTAAATATACTATTCTTAATATACTGTTGCCTTTACACATACCTGAAGTTTAATATTACAGAGTTTATATAAGATAACAAATGTTTATATGAGTTAAAAGAAGTTCATATGAGAATACATAGGTTATTTGAGATTACAGACTTTATATGAGAATACAAATGTTATATTAGGTTGCAGACTATATATGAGATTACAGAGGTTTATATGAGATTATAGATTTTTATATGAGATTATAGATGTTTATATGAGATTACAGAGGTTTATATGAGATTATAGATTTTTATATGAGATTATAGATGTTTATATGAGATTATAGAAGTTTATATGAGATTATAGATGTTTATATGGGATTATAGAAGTTTATATGAGATTATAGATTTTTATATGAGATTATAGATGTTTATATGAGATTATAGAAGTTTATATGAGATTATAGATGTTTATATGAGATTACGGTTTATATGAGATTACAGATGATTATATGAGATTACATAGGTTATATGAGATCACAGATTACATGTATGAGATTACAAAAGTTTATATGAGAATACAGAGTTTATATGAGATTACAGATGTTTTATATGAGATTATAGTATCAAGTACCACTGGTATTCAGTAGATATACTGACACATATCTGTCATTCTAGGTATTCTGTTACCATTTTAATCGCAATGTAAAAAATTCACAATGTAAAAATTTACTTTACAATGCCGAGACAACAAAGATATAGCTAAGTATACACTTAAAAGTGTAGCGATTGTATGGCAATGAAAGAAGCTTTTTTTTATGATTTCGTTATGAAAAGATATGTCTTTTGTATGAGCAGACGTGTAATCATGTTTTCTGTGTTACAGTGTGTCAGAGAATATGAACGTGCATATGTGTCATCATGGTGTAACGAGGCTGTGTGATACCAATCTAGATGCGGAAATAGATTTACCTGACATTGCCGTGGAGGTGAGTGATGTGGTTATTTTGTTTGTTTGATTGGGTTTTATGTCACACTGACACAGTATAGGTAATTTGGCGACATTCCAGCTTTACTGGTGGAGGAAGACCTTAGGTGCCCTTCCCTGCATTAATTCAGGCACGAACGGGCACCTGATTAGAACCACTGACGTTCCGTTAGCTAGCTGGATAGCTTCCTCACATGAAAGAATCCAAAGTCCCTGTCAGGATTCGAACCCACAGCGGTATGGGGCAAGTACTTTGAAGTCAACAACCTTAACCACTCGGCCATGGACGCCCCGTGATGTCATCATATATATTATAATATCAATTACAAATGTTTCAAGAAATGTTACGATGGTTAAAAATTGATGAGACTAGGGTTGGTGTTGCTAGTGTTGGTAGTTTTCACACCAAATCACAGCAGTAAGACACACTGAATTAACCAAAGCACAGTTCAGCCACTGCATTGTTCCTGGGCACGCTGTCAATCAGTTACCTTCACTTTCGCAAGGAACTGAAAACTTCTGTACATGCCGCAGCAGAGGTACAGTGCAAATGACCGTAGAAAGGATTTCATGATCAATCACATTGAAACTGACATCTGAGAATTGAACCCGAATTTCCCTTTTCACAGTCCAACTCTCTACCTATTGAGCTTAACTGACGACTAAGTCTAGGGTTTTTCTTTTTTATTCCATTATCGTTACAACAAGATACTTTTGAATTTGTGAGTTTATTTGTTATGTTATATTTTCTAGTGGCAGATTCCGATTGGTCGATACCACACAAATTTTCTCCAGTTCAGAGTTACCACTCAGGTGAGATATTGTATTTGAGCCATGTCACAACAAAACCAACATAATGGGTTTGTAACCAGCATGGATCCAGACCAGTCTGATCAGGAGTTACCAACCCTATTACAAGTAGAGAAACTGATAGTGAACAGCATGGATCCTGATCAGACTGCACGATTGCGCAGGCTGGTCTGGATCCATGCTGGTCGCAAATGCATAACGTTGGTTTTGTTGTGACGCGGGTCATTTATTTTCTGAGATTTACTATCAAGACTTTTATCTATCATAATGAAATGATGATAAGGGGAACTTTCTATACTAAGAGAGTCATTATGACTTTTATCTAGGTCAGATGTATTGCTAAGGTCTCAGAGTTTAAATAATTAAGTCCCTTCACAGTTGTGAGTTTTTAATCAATCAAGTGACTTTCGAAATCTATTTTACTAATCTGTAGTTTAAAGAAAAATTTAAAACTTAAATAAGTTATTTTAATTGCCTTGAAGTTTATTTCCCCATTTTCCATAACTAGTGATACTTAAACCAATTTGGGCAAACAGTTTACTCACTACCCGATTCTAGAGTTGTATTTTTAACTTGGCATTTTAAATAAGAGTTAATAAGGCAGGCAATCCTTCTTAACGGAGCATCTCTGTAAAACGTGGCTTAAGATTTGCATTCACTTTCATTATAATCTCATTTACCATTTTAATATATTAAACTTTCAAAATGTACAGGGATCAAAATTATTTTTACACTCCAAGATCTGTAACTCTAGCTTGAATTTTATAACTGAATTGTCCCCTTTGCTATGCATTGTCCAGGCTGTATATTTATATACAGTCAAACAATGACAAAGTTTCGCAGCCTGCCTGATTGGCAAATGGTGTTACGTTATTTGTCTGATTGTACTCAAAAGCAAATTTTGTGTATCGATAATCAGCATTTTTTATGCAAATAATATTGTAAAATGAATAAATTATCATATAACTGACTGTATTTTATTTTCAGGATAACACACACGTATGTGCACAACCTGGTGAAGAATCTGTGGGAGTTTATGTACAGTACAATCTCCTGTTTGCCAGAAGCTGTAGCTAAACGTAGACAAAACTGTGCAGAAAAACACAAAACCTGCCGTAGATGAGGGAAATTCCCAGTACCATTCTGTTTACAAAACAAGGAATTGTTTGAATTTCTCTAAGTATAAGAATTGCTGTATAAAGCGAAGAACACTTTGCAGTACATAGACTGCAGATTATAATTATTCTTAGCAGCACAAGGAAAATATCAATTTTCTTTGAAAAAATAATGTGGGTAAACAAAACAATAACAGAATAAAGATATAATTAAGGAAAATGAACATTAAGTGTCTAGATATAAGACCAGGCATTAGACATGTTCCTCTTGATAGTCCAGACAAGAATATCTGGGCTTTTTTTCTTAATCTGGACCTTTTATAGATTATATAATTATAATGCTAGATTTCTCTCCAAAATTGCAATACATTTGTATAATTATACCTACACAAAGATAATATAAAATATGTAATAAATACATTTTTTGATTTCAAATGAACTGTAACACTCTAAAAGATATACATGTAGTGCTAAGATTTATTTGATTTTTTTTTGTGGAAACAATTATTATTTGTTTGGGTCGTCAGACCAAACAAATAATGGTAGCGAAATTTCAGAGTCTAATGTTCTTAATTGCAAATGCCGAAAGTAGTCCACTTTTTTGAAGCGGTTACTTCCCTTTTGTATGTACACTGAAGCCGAAAAATTCAGGGGAGATCACTGCGTAAAGATGGTCAACGACAGGCGCATCAATTTTCAAGCAAAGTAATTCCCGAATGGTCGGAGATTTCTAATATTGTTTTCTGGTATTTTCTGATCGAAAATAACTAAATACAAAGCGGACATTCAATCTCTGACACAGAAGTTTATGACAAACCTAACAACAAGTAGTTCTCAAAACAGCTTAAAACTAGCGATTTAAAAGAAAGAAATATTTTATTTTGTTACAAGTATCCAACAAATTACAACGCATTTAAAGTTAAACAATAGCGTTGGCTTATAGAATTGTCAATAAATGCACAATCACAAATTACGCGGATGAATATGATTTTATCAATGAAAATACTATTTTTAGCCATGTAGATTACCGAATACTACACAAACCGAGTAGTGGAATATATAGATTCTACATGTCGGACTGTTTGGGCGAGAGGATTTTCGCTAAAATATTTACTTCAATTTTAAACAACAGGTTTACCCTGAACAAAATACCTCGAAATTAATAAGGATTACAAACCTGAATGCAATGGAAGTTCTAAATTTAGAATCACTTGATATTATTCAGACATTCTGTGTATAACTTCTCCGTGGTACAGTGGTAACGCGCTCGCTTAGTGAGTGAGAGGTCTCGAGTTCGAATCCCAGTCGAGGAAATTTTTTTTTTTGTTAAATTCTTTTTTTAATTGTTTTTGTTAAGGAATTAGCCATGATTTACAAGGATAAAGTGTGGCTGTCGTAAAAAAGTACATAATGATTTTTTGATGCAACTCTAGTTATGCAGAATTCCGTATGTGCCTTACAAAATGAATTATAATACATAAAAATAAACTTATACAGGAAAATGCATACAGATATACAGTACGATTTAGATTGCAAAGATCAGAAAATACCAAAGAACTTGAAGCCCTTTGATTCTTTATAAATATGCTTATAGTAAGCTTCAGGATTATTTACATCTGTGTTAAACAACAGTTAAAAGTCGTTACAAGCCCTAATTTAGAATAATATGGTTTTCTTCAGGCCGTTCACATATAAATTTAACCGTGGCTGAAGGGTTTTCGGGCTCGCTTAGGAAGCGAGAGGTCTGGAGTTCAAATCCCAGTAAAGGTAACTCATTTTTTTAAAATTGTTAAAGTCAAATAAACATTGGATTGTAATTAGTCTTATAGCCAATTTACTACAATTAAAACGCTGGAAAGCATTGGTGGCACTAAACATATAATCTCACAACCTGCACCTTTCTTACATTCTGAGACCCAAACAAATTCAGCGCCTTCTGTGCTTTGATTAGTTTTAAAGATTCTTACCATGTGTCTTGTGCAAAATGTTTCAACATGTTAACATTCATTTTCTAATTAAACTATAAAAAAATTATACTATAAACGACAATTTGGTATAAATCGGTTCCTACATGTAAATGAGTACTAGGAAAGGACAGTGTTCTAAAGCAAGTCAGCCACAAGATTTTATGACATATTTTTGCACTCAATTAAAAAAAATATTGATTCTTATTAAGATGATTCCGAAATTGTTTTCCAAGGACTTACAGTTGTAATTTCTATACTGAAAAACTTCTTAAGATTCAGTAAACAGTATGGGTGATGCACTGATCTCACTTATTTAATACAAATAGCTCTACCATACCCATTCTGTTTAAAAAATCAGTTTTAATAACCAGTCAGAAATGGAGCACTTCCATTGGCTACATTCAAATTTTTGTAAATAGAATCGACCAATCATGTGCCAGCCCTTTTCAGACTGGTTTTCAAAATGTTATAATATTATTCAGTTCATTGTTACATTCCTTTTGTGTATTTTTTTTCACTTTTGTACATTTTTTAGTCAGTTTGTGTTACTATACATGTATAATGTATATTAATATTTGATATTGTTGACTTTGTAATGAATCATTCCTTTAAAGCCTTGTATATCATTTTGCATATGCAAAATCATTTGTTTTACTGTTAATTATTACATAATGTGCTATCATTTTTATATTAATATCATATTCTGTCTGAGTTAAGTTTTTGTCCATTCATCTTTAAAATTGTTACATAAGGTTTCTTTGCTTAATTTTTGTGAACACCAGTGTTATAAAGAGTTTTGAGAGTTTCAGGTTACAGATACCTTGTTGGATTAGTCTGTAACCTACTTGCCTGAATGGACTGGTCCAGTAACCAATTTTTGGAACTGTCCATTATCAATTTTTGGGGATATCGATATGGAAAGTTAAAGGTTCGTTCATCATCAGTATAAAGACTGGTTGGCTTGGCTCATGATACTGATGATAAGAGCGGGTCACTTTTAGTTCCATCAGGTTAATAAGTGTCAGAGACATAGATAACATTTCATCTACATCTCTGATAGTGTGACACTGCTAATTTTGATAGTTGTAGACTTTATGACTAGAAGGGAAGGAATTTTAGATTCACCTATTGTTTTAACACATAGATGGCATGTAAATATCATTTACATATATTACCTGTTAATTTGACTGAAAAGTGCAATAATTCATTTCTTATTATTACATATACTTTCATTATTTAGTACTTATCATATGCAGTGTCGTGGTCCAGTTTAGACACATGACTTGTTCCGACTCATTCAATGTTGTTGTTCTAAAACAGCCAATTTGTAAGAAAATGAGCTGTCAAAAGATGACGCACCTTGCATTATATTATCTACAAAATATTTAAATGTCAGAAATATTTCAATGAAAACGGCATTGAAGAAACCGGAACTGGTCCTGAACCGGAACGGATTACTTGACTGTATATATTCATCATTGCATATATACAAGGTCATCGAAAAGAATATACTTATTCTCTGTAATCTGGATAGTATGAAATTGATTTAGAAAAAAAAATCTGTGCATTTTTTTATTGAGTTAGAATTTAATTAAACAAGAATAATTTCAGGTATAACGTTGAATTTTATGTCACAATTCAAAAATCGAGTTAAACTTCAGTTCCTGAACGAGTAATATACTTTTCGCACTAGATATATAATTATTCGTGAATTTTTTAGTTTGTTTGGAGTTTTATATATTTTTTCAGGTATAACATTGAATTTTATGTCACAATTCAAAAATGCTATTCGTGAATTTTTTTATTTTGTTTGGAGTTTTATATATTTTTTATTTTTGGTTGTCGGAAACTTGAGAATAAACCATTGAATTTTTATAGGCACATTCATTTTTGTAGCAAATTTTGTATACAAGTCATTAATAAAATGATTTTCTGTTTATATTAATTTGATATTTATATATTTCTTTTGTGATTAATTTTACATGTAATTGATGAAAGTAGGTTGTTATGTAAATTTTTGTCTAGCATTCATTATTCCACCACCAAAGCAAACTATAGATGGGTGGGGTAATTTTACTGTTTTTAATATTTGTACTTGTGTTTGTTACAAAACTTTTATATTTCTCATATTATTGCAATGTTTATAATTTTGTATTTGTCCTGTCCCTTTTTAGGTTCAAAGATTGTAAAATTGGGTTAATTGTCCTACTATCTTACATAAGTTTTGAAACAAAGCATTTGATTGGTTGCTAAATATAGCACAAACAAAAACTGTGAAAAATTGTCTCATTGGTTATATTAAAAACATTTATTTTAAAAAAGAAAAGAAAGTGAACCAGGGGTCACACTGGCATGAAGTATTTTGGGATCTACTTTTAGTTCAAAAACAACTTGAAATAACTAGAAAAGCAAAATAATCATTTATAAGTTTTTTAATTGCAACAAAAAATTTAGATTATCTAAGTTAAAATATGAAAAAAATCCACAGTTTTAAAAAAAGTTGTATTTGACACCTATATGTTTCCATGCAGGTGGGAAATGCTATTCCTGTGTACCTAGGATTTATATTAGACCAGTTTTATAATCTCTAATCCTAAATTTTTCATTTTATATATTACATGTAGGGTTTCATGAAGTAACACCATTGTTGCGACAAACTCTTTAAGTTTTGTACTTTTAACTCATAGAACTTTGTCATGTATTTGACAAAAACTGCTGTATGTGAAGATGAAAATGATTGAAATAAATAAACTGATTTATTTTACAAAAGAATTTTTTCTTTTTTTTTTTTTTTGATACAAGATGCCTAAATAGTGCCTGCCTGTGTACTTTTAGCACAAACCGACAAGATTTCTGTCCTGAATAGTGCCTCGACACAAACCAAAAAGACATCTGTCCTGAATAGTGCTTTAACACAAACCAACAGGATGTTTGTCCTGAACTGTGCCTCGACACAAACCAAAAAAGACATCTGTCCTGAATAGTGCCTCAACACAATCACACAAGACATCAGTCCTGAATCATGCCTTAACACAAACCAACAAGACATCATTCTGTCCCGAATAGTGCCTTAACACAAACCAACAAGACATCTGTCCTGAAAAGTGCCTCAACACAAACCAACAAGACATCTGTCCTGAATCATGCCTTAACACAAACCAACAAGACATCATTCTGTCCCGAATAGTGCCTTAACACAAACCAACAAGACATCTGTCCTGAAAAGTGCCTCAACACAATCACACAAGACATCTGTCCTGAAAAGTGCCTCAACACAATCACACAAGACATCTGTCCTGAATAATGCCTCGACACAAACCAACAAGACATCAGTCCTGAATCATGCCTCGACACAAACCAACAAGACATCAGTCCTGAATCATGCCTCGACACAAACCAACAAGACATCAGTCCTGAATAATGCCTCGACACAAACCAACAAGACATCAGTCCTGAATAATGCCTCAACACAAACCAACAAGACATCAGTCCTGAATAGTGCCTCGACACAAACCAACAAGACATCTGTCCTGAATCATGCCTCGACACAAACCAACAAGACATCAGTCCTGAATCATGCCTCGACACAAACCAACAAGACATCAGTCCTGAATAATGCCTCGACACAAACCAACAAGACATCAGTCCTGAATCATGCCTCGACACAAACCAACAAGACATCAGTCCTGAATCATGCCTCGACACAAACCAACAAGACATCAGTCCTGAATAATGCCTCGACACAAACCAACAAGACATCAGTCCTGAATCATGCCTCGACACAAACCAACAAGACATCAGTCCTGAATAATGCCTCGACACAAACCAACAAGACATCAGTCCTGAATCATGCCTCGACACAAACCAACAAGACATCAGTCCTGAATAATGCCTCGACACAAACCAACAAGACATCAGTCCTGAATAATGCCTTAACACAAACCAACAAGACATCAGTCCTGAATAATGCCTCGACACAAACCAACAAGATATCAGTCCTGAATAATGCCTCGACACAAACCAACAAGAGACATCAGTCCTGAATAATGCCTCGACACAAACCAACAAGACATCAGTCCTGAATAATGCCTCGACACAAACCAACAAGACATCAGTCCTGAATCATGCCTCGACACAAACCAACAAGACATCAGTCCTGAATAATGCCTCGACACAAACCAACAAGACATCTGTCCTGAATAATGCCTCGACACAAACCAACAAGACATCAGTCCTGAATAATGCCTTAACACAAACCAACATCTGTCCTGAATAGTGCCTCGACACAAACCAACAAGACATCTGTCCCTGAATAGTGCCTCGACACAAACCAACAAGACATCTGTCCTGAATAATGCCTTAACACAAACCAACAAGATATCTGTCCTGAATAATGCCTCGACACAAACCAACAAGACATCAGTCCTGAATCATGCCTCGACACAAACCAACAAGACATCAGTCCTGAATAATGCCTCGACACAAACCAACAAGACATCAGTCCTGAATCATGCCTCGACACAAACCAACAAGACATCAGTCCTGAATAGTGCCTAGACACAAACCAACAAGACATCTGTCCTGAATAGTGCCTCGACACAAACCAACAAGACATCTGTCCTGAATAGTGCCTCGACACAAACCAACAAGACCTCTGGCCTGAATAGTGCCTTAACACAAACAAACAAGACATCTGTCCTGAATAGTGCCTTAACACAAACAAACAAGACCTCTGTCCTGAAAAGTGCCTTAACACAAAACAACAAGACCTCTGTCCTGAATAGTGCCTTAACACAAACCAACAAGACCTCTGTCCTGAATAGTGCCTCGACACAAACCAACACAAGACATCTGTCCTGAATAATGCCTTAACACAAACCAACAAGATATCTGTCCGAATAGTGCCTTAACACAAACCAACAAGACATCTGTCCTGAATAATGCCTTAACACCAAACCAACATCTGTCCTGAATAGTGCCTCGACACAAACCAACAAGACATCTGTCCTGAATAGTGCCTCAACACAAACCAACAAGACATCTGTCCTGAATAGTGCCTCGGCACAAGCCAACAAGACACCTGTCCTTAATAATGCCTCAACACAAACCAACAAGACATCTGTCCTGAATAGTGCCTCAACACAATCACACAAGACATCTGTCCTGAATAGTGCCTCGGCACAAGCCAACAAGACACCTGTCCTTAATAATGCCTTAACACAAACCAACAAGACATATGTCCTGAAAAGTGCCTAGCTGTGTAATTTTTAACACAATCCAAGCTGGAGGAAATGTTTCATAGAATAGATTATATTTTACATACACCCTATAGTCCTACATAAACAAAAAAAAACTTCTTTTTTTGGAAAATTTTATTTTCTTAACAATCCAATATGTTTTAGAACTGATAAAATAACATGCAATATAATATGAACACAGAGGGGGTAAACGGTAAAAGCCATTTAAATCTTATCTGAAATACAGATGTGACACTATCATGAAGCATCACTGTTAAAATACACAAACAAAATGAAAACAGGACTAAGGTTAAGACAATCTACAGTCAAAACTTGTGCAAAAGACCACCTTCAAACTATGATCACCCTGTAACTTAAGGCCATTCTTCGAAAACCCTTCATTGATAGATAAAGAACAAAGTAACCTTGCAAAAAAAGACCATTTGGCTATGAAGAACATGTTTGGTTTTTTCCCTTAGGTGGCGAGTGTTGACAGCTTTGACTGTATCTAATAAAATTAACCCTTTCACTGCCATAATGAAGGCATAAGCCGTCCCTATTATTTTTGGCGTATTTGCCATATGGACGGCTTTTGCCGTTTCTATAATAATAATCATAATAATAAAAATAATAAATAAATAGATAATTATACCATCGACAATAATTATTATTATACTAGCAGATTTGGAAATATATATAATTATTATAATACTTATGACAAATAATAATAATTATATTAATATTATGATATAGTAATTTCTTAGAAAACCCTCTGGCAAATAGGTGATCAATAAATAAATAACCCTCTGGCAAATAGGTGATCAATAAATAAACAAGAGCTGTCAGAAGGACAGCGCGCTCGACTTTTTTAGTGCTTGCCTATAAAACAAAACTTTGACAGTTAAGGGCACACAAGACTTTAACTAGGAATTTCTAAGTACAAATCAAGAAACATTTTCACAGAGTTATCTTCTCTTGCTTACAGATAGGTCTCATGATGGCACATAAGAACTCCAACTTCCAAAGTAATATCTCAAATGGTTAGGTCAACAAGTGGACAAGAATGAAAATTTTAACTGAGTTTCTAAGTCAAAAAGGGCCATAATTCAAATAAAAATCCTTAACAGAATTACCTTCTCCTGCCCATGTTTGGGACCATGATGGTAAACAAGTATTCCAACTTTCAATTTAATATCTCAACCAGTTCAGTCAAAAAGTTGACTGGTACAAAAAACTTAACCAAGATTCTAAGTCGATAAAAGGCCTTAATTTTTAAAACAAATCCCTGACAGAGTTACCTTCTCTTGCGTAACAGATGGGGGTAATGATGTGAAATAGCATTAAAAGTTTCAAAGCAATATCTCAAAGGGTTAAGGCAATAAGTGGATTTTACCCATATTCAATGTATTTTTCTAAGTCAAAAAGGGGCATAATTCTGTCAAAAACCTTGACAGAGTTATGTCCTCTTGTCTGTTGATGAAGGTCGTGATGGTAAACAAGTATGGTCAGTTTCAAAGCAATACCTCCAATGGTTTTGAAATAAAGTGAGGTGGTACAAAAAACTTAACCAAGCTCAATACACTTTCTAAGTCAAAAAAGGGCCATAATTCTGTCAAAAACCTTGACAGAGTTATGTACTCTTGTCTGTAGATGGAGGTTATGATGGTGAACAAGTATGGTAAGTTTCAAAGCCATACTTGTAATACTTCTGAAATAAAGTGGGGTGGTACGAAAAACTTAACCAAGGTGTGACGCCAACGCTAACGCTAACGCCGACGCCGACGCCGGGGCGAGTAGGATAGCTCCCCTTTTCATAGAAAAGTCGAGCTAAAAACCCTCTGGCAAATAGGTGATCAATAAATAAATAACCCTCTGGCAGCGAAACGGTTAATACAGCATGTGTCTTTCTGAAATGAATTTACCATCACTTGTATGAGACATTATTAGATGATAAATGACTAACAAATTTACAAAATACAGACATATGGACAGACATATGGTCTGAATACCAAAGCAAGGTAAAATATCTTTGGCATATAATGCCCTGAACTTGAAATCATTCATGCAAAATAACATCAAATAATACATGCATTAAAAAGTTAACATATAGACATAGGATCAAATCAATGTCAAGCATATTACAAAATTAACCTTTGATATTTACATGTAATTTCCTGAAATTAGGATCACTCCTCCAAGACATCAAATAATACATAAATTAAAGTCCCATTATGCCTTTAAAAATGCTATTATGTACTTTTCTTAAAACTTTACTTTTTGTGTCCAATTACAATTTCTTAAAAACCCTAATAATTGTCAAAAAGGTGAATCACGCACTGCTTTGTTTTTCCTTTTCAAAATTAGTTTGGTTATAGTTTTAGTATTTCAAATTTTTTGTTTTACACTATACTACCTAAATAACATTTATTTCACATCAATTGCTACTTACAAGCAATGATTAGCCTTAAATATGTTTTTAAAACATTATTAGCACATCATATCAAACACATGTTCATTTTTGAGGCATAATGTTCC